CCCAGGCTGCTGGCCCCTGGGAGCTGGATGGTACCCTGTGCTCTGAGTCAGTTCCTGCGGTTACAGGCTGGCAGGCCCGGGGGCGAAGTGTGCCAGCCGGCCCAGCAGCTTGCTGACGGCCAGTCTGTGCTGGGGACCTGCATCCTGACTGGCTCAGCCACACTGGGTGAAGAGCTGACCCATGCAAGGGGAAGATCGGCCTTAGCTCTCCCCGAGTCTCCATGAGCCTTTGGGAGACCTTTGCTTTCCCCCTTCCTGGGGTGCCTAGAACCCATTCTCTGCAGTTCAGAGGTCAGTGACTACCCAGTTGGAAGAGTGAGATGGACCAAAGTGGAAACACTGTCCTTTCTACCCCACAGGGACTGAGTCTTCTCTGGAGTAGGTGTTACAGCTTCCCTCCTGCTCCCTGCCCGTGCCTACATGTGCCTGTGGGTGTACACAAGGAGGGGTGATGCTGTGTGTGAAGGTATGAGTGTGTGCATGTCCATGTGTATATAGGTGCCTGAGTGCAAAAACAAGAGTATATTTGTGTGTATGTGTATGTGGTCTTCCCAGATGGTGTTAACGGTAGAGAACCTGCCTGGCAATGCAGGGGACATTTAGAGACACAAGTTTGATCCCTGGACCGGGAAGATCTGGAGGAGGGCATGGCAACCCACTCCAGTATTATTGCCTGGAGAATCCCATGGACAGAGGAGCCTGACGGGCTACAGTCCATAGGGTTGCGAAGAGTCAGACACAACTGAAGTGACTTAGCACGCACATACGTGTGTGCCTGTATGATTGTGTGTGAGTGACTTCTTGTCCACATCATGATACCACAAGCAGGCGTGTGTACATGCTCAGCTGTTTTCCGACAGGTTCAGCCCAGCAAGCAGCCACTATCTGTTTGGTAGGTACTCTTGCCATACATGTTTTTATACTTGGAACATCATCCCTGTTACCTGCTTATGTGTTTCCTTGCGATGTGTGAGTTTTGCATGTGTGTCTCAGGTTTTGGGTCTAGGTATGTGTGCGTGGGTATTGGAGCTCGTGTGTGTGTGTGTGTGTGTGAGGTCTTGAGGATGCTTGTGTCTGTGCGTGCTTATGTGGTTTTGTGTGAGTGTGTGTGTGTGTGCACGCCTCTCTGGCTGGGGGTGACTCAGGCCAGAAATATTCATCATCACTGCCCCAACTCAAGGGGGAAATCCTCTTGAGTCTGAGATGGAAAAGGCTAGGGACTGCGGGGCTCCATGCTTCTCAGGCTCCCAGCAGCATTCCCAGGCCCTGTGGCCCAGGGGATGGAGTTGGGGTGCAGGGGAAGCATGTGCCGGTCCTAAGGGGATGAGGGCAGAGTCAGATTTCCCTTTCGGAAGTCCCCTCTGGGGCTGCTGTTGTGGGGGGGTGATGCTGGGGCCTGGGAAACCAGTGAGGAGGAGAGACTGGCCCAGGCCAGACAGTGGATGGGAGGAGGGGGCAGAAGGGAGGGACATCTAGGATCAGCATGGACAGGAATCAGTGTCTGGAGGGGTGTGAGGGCCAGCAAGGCGTGGAGGAGCCCCCCCGCCTCCCCCTGTCTGTGTCTGACCAGAGTGATGGGGGATTGGGATGAGGTCATCTAGGAGCAAAGTCGCCCGGGCAGCTTGCTGGTGGCCAGGCTCTGTGTGGGACCTGCGTCCTGGCTGCCTCAAACCCTGGGTGAGGACAGTAATGTGGGTGGGGGGGGAGCAGATGGGGGAGAGAGCAGATCTGGCGACCTGGTCAGTGCAAGGGGCCTGTGGCCGTGCAGGAGAGGGCGTCTAGAGGGCTGAGGGGCCTGCGTGGGAAGAGCTATGCCCAGTTCACTGACTACATTCTTCACCCTGACTTTACTTCCAACCAGAGCCCTTCTTGTTTGGTTGGTTTTTTAATTGTGGAACCCAAGTCTGAGTTGGTCATGGAAGCTGCTGACTTCTAAGGCCTGATTTGCACGCAGCCTGTGGGGAACACAAACAGCACCCACTGAGGTTGTCTCCTAGGTTATTTTTTTTTCCATTTATTTTTATTAGTTGGAGGCTAATTACTTTACAATATTTTATTGGTTTTTGTCATACATTGACCTGAATCAGCCATGGATTTACATGTGTTCCCCTCCTAGGTTATTTTTTATTCTCGTTTTTAAAAATCTATTTGGCTGTACTGGTTTTAGTTGCAGCATGTGGGGTCTAGTTCCCTGACCAGGAATCGAACCCAGGAGTGTGGAGTCTCAGCCACTGGACCACCAGGGAAGACCCTCTTCCAGCTTTAGAAGCACAAGCTCTTGGCACCGTGGAGGCACCTGGTGGGGCGTGGGGCTGGGGAAATCACGGCCCAGCGGGTGGTGATCTCCTTGGAGCAGCCACGTGTGGCAGGGTGGGGCCGAGCTGTGTACTGTCAGGGGGTCACACCTCTCTGAAGGAGTGACCTTCCCTGAGCCCAGGCGGCGCCTCAGCAGGCTCTGTAATTATGGGATGAGGAGGTGGCCTCTCCCTAGCCGGGCCCCGCTTTGCCCCTCAGAGCCGCTGTGTGGAGACAAGGGTTTGGTGGCTTGGGGTGGGTTTCCAGGTGTGTCTGAGGAAACCTGGCCTCCTCCCGCGGTTTGTTCAGCCTGAAAGGCTCCATTGTGGCTGCAGCCTCCCTCGGATCGGCTCTATTTTGGGACAGGATCCACCCTGCTCCAGCTGGAGGAAGGAAAAGGTGTATTTCAGCGTGTCCTGTGGGTGTGGGGGGGCGGGCAGGGGGCAGAACGCAGCCCCAGCAGAGAAGGCAGCTCGGAGTGGCTGGCGCAGGGGGTGTGGAGGGTAGGACCCCGGCCTGTGAGCTGGAGCCGGGGCGGGGGGGTGTGGGGGGGACAGTGGCCTGGCCGTCCCTGGAGGTGGGAGTCAAGGGGAGGATGGGTGTGAGCGGTCCCCGCTTTCATGTGGCCCCAGGAGGCAGGCTTGGCAGACCCTGCCAAGCTGGAATGCGGGTCTGCGGCCTGCCTGGGCCCCACCTAAGGCTCGCCCACCGGCCACTTCCTGATTCCTAGCCCTGTGGGTGCCCAGCCCAGGCCCAGAGGAGGCCCACCCTGCCCTCAAGAGTTCCCCAGTTAGTGGAGGGCCAAGGCCTGGTGAGACTGGGAGAAGACCCCTGCTGCGCCCCCTCCCCAGTGGGTCCTGCCCTCTCTCTGCAGCCCTGGCCACACTCTTGACCACCCAGCCTGGCAGGTGCCTTCTGGCCTCCGCCTCTGCTCACCGGGTTCTCTGCCTGGTGTGGCCTTGGGGCTCTTCTAGACCCATCCCGATCCTGCCCGTCCTTCAGGGCTCTGCTCAGGGCCACCTCCATCTGGAAGCCCTCCCCATCCTGCGCTTTCCTCTGACTCATCTTGTGCCAGCCTCACCCTGTCCTGCGGGTTCTGGGGCCTCTCCGAGTCTCCCCCCTGGCCCCCTGACAGCTTCCTATCTCTCATCTTGTCACTCGGGTGAGGGGCTCACCAAAAAGTGGTATGTGACCTGGGCCTGATCCTTCTCATCTGTGAAGTGGGAGTCATGGTGCGTGTCTTAGGAGGTGGCTGAGAGTTGGGTGGGTGACAGAAGGGGACAGGCCCGGTGTGTCGTCGGTGGGCATGCAGTAAGCCTTCGGTTCCTCTGTCCTGGGTTCTTGTAGGCCTTTGGGTGCCAGAGCCTGGGCTGCCCTGGGCAGAGCCCCATGACTCTAGGAATGACTAATTCTACTCCAGCAATAAGCTCTCCGGAGCTCTGAGAAATGAGACTTTCCCCTCCTCCTTCCTGCCTCATTAAACTCTTCTTGAGTGAGTGGAATGAAGATTGTCCTAATCCTTTGGCACGAGGTGGGGGGTTCAGGGAGCTGGGAGAGACAGGCCCACAGCGGCCTCCAGTCACCCGCTGGATAGGCAAACAGGGCGGTGGGGGTGGGGGGCACATCAGGTTTTCTGAGCCCCATAGGTGCCCAGGGCGGGGGTGGGCACCGGACAGGAGCTGGAAGCCTCATGTTTCAGTCTGGCTTTGTCCTCGGCCAGCTGATGACCTCAGACAAGCCCTGATCCGGGCACAGTTTACTGTCTCAGCCTTGCTCACCTCCCTGTGATGCTCCAGGGAACTGGGAAGGGGAAGGCCTGGGAGGGGCTATGGATGGGGTGCCTGGTTTGGGTGGTCTGGCTGGCATGCAGTAGGTGCCTCCTTAATGTACACTGGCCTTAGGGGAACAAAGCGGGAGGGGTGGGCAAGGCCAGAGCAGTCTCTGGACCTTTCTCTGTTTCCCCACCTTTAAAAGTGGCCTGGGAGGGACTTTCCTGGTGGTCCAGTGGCCAAGACTCTGTGCTCCCAATGCAGGGGTCTGGGTTTGATCCTTGGTCAGGGAACTAGACCCCACATGCTGCAACTAAGAGTTTGCATGCCACAACTAAAGATCCCACGTGCTGCAGCTAAGACCCAGTGTAGTCAAATAAAAATAAAAATTAAAAAAAATATATAAATATATAAAGTGGCCTGGGAGTCCTGGCTACTACCCTGGGTGACCTCAAGGACGTGCTCTTCCCAGGCCTGGGCCCTGACTTCTCTCTGGGTCATGGCTGGCCATCTGCCCAGATGGAAATGTCTACCCACTCTGGGGGCTTCTCTGGTGGCTCAGTGATAAAGAATCCACCTGTCAATGCAGGAGTTGCAGGTTTGATCCCTGGGTCAGGAATCCTTCCCCTGCAGAAGGGAATGGCAACCCACTCCAGTATTCTTGCCTGGAAAATCCTATGAACAGAGGAGCCTGGTGGGCTACAGTCCGTGGGGTTGCAGGAGTCTGACATGTCTTAGCGACTAAACCATTCCTACCACCCACTCTGGAGGCTGCTGCCACTGGGATAACAGTTGCAGACCTCACCCACCCCAGGAAGTCTCGATGGGGCTTCCTGTGTGCAGACTAGTCTCCCTCTGCACAGAGGGGAAGACACCATGGGGAGGGGCTGGTGATTGAAATCCAGGGAGCCTCATCCTGACCCGCTATGTCCACAGGTGTTCCTGGCCCTTGGGGAGCTTCTCCTGTCCTGCAACTGGGCTGTGGTTGCCGACATCCTGCTGGTAGGTGTGGGGGTCAGGGCAGAGGGCTGGGCCTGGGGTGTTGAACGGGGGCAGCTGGCGTCTGTCCTGCTCAGGGCCGGACTTCTGCTGTTGAGTGGCCCAGAGGTCAGATGGGGCTTCAGAGACCATGGGGTCAGGGACCGAGGTCAGCAAGCAGTTACCGTGGACCGGGGGCCTCCCTGACGCTCTCAAACATATCCTCTGACCATCACTTCTGTGTTGTGGGTAAGCACATGGAGGCTCAGAGAGGCCAGGGGCCTGGACCAAGGTCACACAGCCCATAGAGGCACTGAGCCAGGGCTGGGACCCAGGCTTTTTGACCCTAGGCCTCTTTCTTTGCCCCTGTTTCTTGACTGCCATCCTTCTCAGCAAGTGGTCTCCTTGGCCTCTACACTGGGTATGCAGTCAGGGATGCTGGACTTCGGGGGCACCCAGCCCAGGTGGGTCCAGGCCACCCCAGCTCCTGTATCATGGACTGCAAGGCTCGGGCTCCAGTGAGTCCTGATGCTGTCCTGACCACATCAGGATGTGGTGGTGCTGGGTCCAGAGTCTAGCACGCCCCTCCCTGAGCCTCACACTCCGTCCAGCCTCCTGGCCTCCTTCTAGCAGACCACAGGGAAGCTGATAAACACTGAAGGGCTGTGCCCTTGTGGGTTACACAGGGTCCCCACCCTAGTGACACCCCAAAGCCCTCGTCCTGCCTCCTGGCAGCCCAGCATGGCCCAGCAGTGGGCCCGAGGGAAGCAGAGCCGTCCTGAGTGTGGTCCAGTGCAGATGCACGAACCTGGGTGTCAGCCCTGCTTCTGCCACTTCCCAGCTCTGCGTGACCCAGGCAAGTCACTTTGTGTCGCTGAGCCTCAGTTTCCCTGTATGGAAAATGGGGATGAAAAGACCTCCTGGATTATGGTGAGGGTGAAACAAGATGATCCCTGTGAAGCTTGTGCCCTTTGCCCAGGGCAGGGAATGCTGGCTGGGGTTCTGGTAATAAATCAGCTGTTCCTACTTCCTCATTTTCCATCTCCTAAGTAAATCCTGCATCCTGGAATCTGAGTTTGAAAGGGCTGTGGGGAAGTGTAGACATGTAATTAGCCAACAAAACCTGCTTGAATACTGCTGTGGACTGGAGGCTCACTCTCTGTCTAGATGCTCTGGCCCTTCCTTTGACCCAGGCTAGCGGGTGTCGACAACGCTATCCTGTCTGTGACTCCCGGGTGAGTGTATCAGCTGCAGGGCTGCCGGCTCTTCTCTTTTCCTCCCTCCAGACAGGAGACTTGGGCTCCAGCCCAGACTCAGCCACAGACCTGCTGAACGGCCTTGGGCCTCAGTTTCCTTGCCTATAAAAAGGGGCAATCATAACTGGCCTGGCGGGATGAGCAAGATGGCCTGAGGGGAAGCCCTCGGTGTATGGGATTGCGCTGGCAAAGCTTGCCCCGGGTATGGCTGCCCACTTGTAGGCACAGGGCGATGACCTGCCCCCACCCCCAACACAGCTTCTTCCGCCTCCCGCTCAGCCCTGTTCCTGCTCCACATGACAGCCCCACAGATATGTGAAGACTGCGCCCGCCCGTGGTCTGCATTGCGGGAATGATTAACCTGGCAGATCCGGCCTCTTTGTAGCACCACGTGTGGGTTGGGGTCAGGGGTCGGGGAGGGAGTGGCGGGGAGAGGAGAGGGGAGGGGGCCAGGCAACCATAGTCTGACCCATCTGGCAGTGCTGGGGAGCCGGCGGGTACCACCCAGGGGGCCAGACTGGACCCAGCCCGCCTGGTGCTCCTCCTGCTCCTCCCCTGGCTTAGAGGCGTCCAGCCCCCAAAGCTCAGTGGGGCCTGTCAACCTAGGGAGGCTGCTAGCCCCCCTTCCCTTGCCTCCCCACGTTCCCAAAGCCTCACGGGAGGGACAGCTTTGTGACACTTTGCTGGCCGGAGCTGGACCACATCTTGGAGCTCAGTCTCCAGGCAGAGTGGGGGAGGGCTCCAGAAGGGAGGGGTCTCAAGCCAAATGCCGGTGAGGGGACCGCTGCGGGACCTGAGCTGTGGAGTGGAGGGGCAGACCGGGAGCAGGGGGGAAGGGTGAGAGGTGACGAGGCCGGAGTGCAGACCAGCGAGTAGACGGTGCCTGTGAGAAGCTGCCCAGGGGAGAGGGGAAGAGAGGAAGGTCCCTGGAGTTGGGGGTCATAGGTGTCGAGTGCTGCTTTTCCAGAGATGAGGCTGGAGGGGAGATGGGTGGAGAGAGGCTGGCAGGGGTTAGAGTGGGGCTGGAGCAGGAAGTGTGGGGACGCTGGTGTGGCATGAAGTACAGGGAGGTCCTTGCTGGCTGCCCTTTCTTCTGAGGCCCGGAAGGCGAGAGGTCAGCGGAGCCCAGGAGCCAGGATTCTGGAATGGTCCACCTGCTTCCACTCCCAGCTCTGCCCCTCTCTCTGGCTGGCCTTGGTGTGCGCAAATGTGCTGTAGGTGTTTAACAGAAAGGCAGTACCTACCAGTTACACCCAGGCTACAAGGGCTAAGAGAGCCAAGCCTGTATCCCTGAGGGGTCGCTGTGGGCTCCATGGGCCCCACGGCAGTCCTGCATCAGGGACACGGCTCTCTTTGATCTGCTTATCCGCAGGGAGGAGAATCTAGATTTTCTCCAGGGAAGAGACTTCAGGGACTCTTCAGTGGTTCTTAAATTCATTGAGCATAAGAATCAGGTTTAGGGGAGCTTATTACAAATTTCATTTCCTGGGTCAGGAAGATTCCCTGGAGAAGGAAGTGGCTACCCACTCCAGTAGTCTTGCCTGAAAGATTCCATGGATAGAGGAGGCTGGTGGGCTATAGTCCATGGGGTCACAAAGAGTTGATATGACTGAGTGGCTAACACTTTCACTTCACTTTCATTATAAATTCACTTTCCTGGCCCTCTGTCCTCAGAGTCTGATTCAGTCATGTCTGTGTTGGGGCCCAGGGATCTGCATTGCTCTTGAATTGTCCTGCATGATCCTGCTGGAGCTGCTCCTCAGAATGCACTGGAGGATGCTATTCTAGTGCAGCCAGCTTTCCAGCTCATGAACCCTCTGCAAAATTCTGACCAGTGCTGTCCACCCCCTTGTTTACATACCCCTCTGATGGGCAGCTCACTCCTCTCATCCTGGGAAACCCCTGCCTCCTGGTGGCTCGGTTAATAAAAAGGATCTTGTTAATAAAAAGGATCTTGGCTTATCACAGCCAAGACCCACTTCAGACTCTTGTCCGCGACCTCCCCACTAGTTCGGCTGGGACTCAGATGGCCTTGTTCCCTGCAAGACTGGAGACTGTGTATCCCCAAATGAGCTCACCATCTCCCTCAACCCACTGATGGGGTCTCCAGCTCCCTTCCCACCCTCCTGTCTCTCTGGGCCCCCCTCTAGTTTACCCATCCCCAGGTGTGGGGAGTCGGGCAGAAGGGGGACTGGCTCCCTCTCCCAGGTCTGTATTTTGGGTTGCTGGAATCCTGCCACTGGGATCACCTCCCACCTCTTCAGCAGATCCCCCTTCCCTGGGGGATCATCACCCTCCAGTTCTCCCTCCATCCATACATCTCCATGCTTCCCTGCTCTGCCTTCTGCCCCTAGGTAGCCGTCTGCTCACTTGTCTGTCTCACCCTCCCAGGGGTGTCTGGCTGTGAGGGCTGAGTGGGGCGCGTGAGGCAGGCTGCCAGGAAGTTTGCACCTGGTGACTGCCACTCCAACTTTGTGCGGGCCCTTGATTGGCGCTGGTTATGCCCCGGGCTATAAAGGGAACAGCTCTTCTAAGAAGGGCGAGTCAAAAACAGAAGTGTTTTTGTCTCCGAATAGAGTGAGCCTGGAGTTTTGGGAACCCAAAAGCCTCTAAGCTTCTAAAATTACCTGCCCGGCTCTCCAGCTGCTGGTGAGGTCCAGCCTTGGCCCCTGGCTACATGGAGACCCTGGGGACCCAGAACAGGTAGGGGGAGACCTACCTCCCTGCCACTGGCAGCAGGAGCCGGTCTGGGTCCTGCAGGTTGGAGTTCCTGGGAGCAGAGGAAGGGAACTTTCTCTCTCCAAGCAGCCCTGGCCCCTGCATGGACGTTTTTGGATATTCAGAGCCCTTGTTCTAGGACTGGGGTCCCCAACTTCTGGGGTATAATGCCTGATGATCTGAGGTGGAGCTGATGTAATAAAATAGTAATAAAGTGCACAGCGAATATAATGTGCTTGAATCATCCTGAAACCATCCCCCAACCCATTCATGGAAAAATTGTCTTCCATGAAACAGGTCCCTGGTGCCAAAAAGGTAGGGGACTGCTGTCTCTAGGAGGCCCTGCCCTCTGCCCAGAACCACCAGTGAGTAATCACATAATTATGGGGTGAGGAGGAAGCACTTGGGGAAGGTGCAAAGCTGTGGTCAGTTCCTCCTCAGGCCTGTTGGCAGGTCCTGGTGATGGGCAGGAGACCCAGCTTCTCTCACCACCTGGACAGACTGGCTCAGTGCCAGTGACTCCAGGACCAGCCGGTCACCCTCAAGAGTGACTCCTGCCACTTTGTCCTGCCCACCCACAAGCCCCTTTCCAGTCCTGCGGCTCGGGCCTTCATACCTTGGCTCACACTGTCCCCTGTCTGGAGTCCCCTTCTCTGCCCTCCTTGCAATTCCCCATTTGCAGGGCTTGAGGTGAGCTTGTCCTCTTGGTTCTTCTCACTGTTTTCCAAACGTTCTGTAACAAACGTGTCAGTGTTTCTGGAAAGGCTCCTTTTTGCTTGTAATAGCAGGATGGTCAAGCATCAGACCCTGGAGACGAAGGCCTGGGATCAAATCTTAGCCCCACTGTTTCCTGGCTGGGTGACCCTGGGCAAGTTACTCACCCTCTCTGTGGAGGGTTTCATTATCTGTAATAGTGGATAGGAATCGTGTCTCCCTCATGGGTTGCTTGAGTGGATATATTAAAAAATACATATATGAGATATGTAAAATGTATACAGGAAGCACTTAATGAATGTTAGTAATTATTATAATAATTATTATTATATTGTTATTATTCTCTGATGGGCTCAGATTATGGCCAACTAGGCCTTGGGAATAGGCGTTGGTGTGGGAAGCTCCCCCGTGGATCTCCTGTTGGGACCGTGTGACCCCGTGGCTTCTAGTTGAACCTCCTGCCTCCCTCCCTGCCTCCCTCCTGTCCTCTTGCTGCAGCCCTGGGTTCTAGCAGTTTCTCCTGGGGTCAGTCTCCAAGATGATTCTACTTGACTTGTTTAGTTGGCAAGCTATCAGCTAGTCCCCTCCGTGCCTGGTGCCTTGCTGAACCCCCAGGGACCCCAAGAGAAATTAGGCAGGAGCTTTGCTGCCAGACCATGTAAGGGTAAGGGGAGGAGGGCAGTGAACCCTTCCAGCTGAGGGGGATGTGCCTTCAGTTAGGGGTGCACACAGGGGCTGTGGGGCTGTGGGAGCTCAAGGCAGGCACCTGAACTCTGGGAAGGCTTCAAGAGGAGGTGACCTTCTTGAAGGTCAGTCCTGAAGGATGAATGGGGATGCTCCAGTTGGACCAGAGAGGGGAAGGCTTGCCAAGACAGGAGGCCCAGCAGGTTCAATTTATTTCAGCCTAATGTCCTCAGGTACCGGATGAGGAATGATCATGAAAGTAACCCTTTATGTAGGTACCATTATTATCCCCATATAAGGATGAGGAGGCTAAGGCACAGGAAGGCAAAGTGACTTGCCCAGAGTCAGACAGCTAGTGAGTGGGGAGTATGGGATTGGGACCAAACAGTTTGACTCCAGAATTCATATATTTAACCTCCCCACCCCCTTCCAGGTGGGCCTTTTCAGCAAGGCTGCCTTTGGTCTCTGCCCAGACGGGCTTCCTGAGAGAGAGACTGAGCCCTCCAACCCTCCCCACCTGGGTGCCCACGTATGTAGGCACCTGGCCTTGCACCCTGTCTTCACTCCACAGCCCACACTGCCTTCCGCGCCCCTGAGCTGGGACACGCCCACCCCCTCCCTGTTGTCACAGCCATGCCTGGGCCCCCTGGTTCAAGAGCAAACTCTTACGAGAGGTGGCTCTCATTAGGGGCCTGGCAGTTCCATCCTGGGGGACTGGGGAGCCTTCCTGAGACTCTCAGAGGCTAATATCTCAGTGGTGGGGCTTCAGGCATTAGGGTCATGAACTCCCTGCCACCCTACTCTCTCGGCCATCCTGTCCCCCCACCAGGCAGGTCCTTGGCAGCGGGGGGACAGGAGAGGGTCTGAGGGGCCACCTACTCCCAGATCTCGCTCAGGGACCTCCCCTGGTTTTCCTGTGTTTTGCAGTCGGTGGTGGTGCCCAGGTGCCGGGGGACAGCTGAGGCGCTTCAGATCACAGTGGGCCACATCCTGGGAGATGCCGGCAGCCCCTACCTCACGGGACTTGTAAGGCCGGGTGGGTGGTGGGGCTCCAGGGAAGGGCTGCACTTGGAGGCCTAGTGGCTTCCTGGTGGGCCCGGCAGACCCAGCCTCTCTCCTCTGCAGATCTCCAGTGCCCTGCGGGCGGGGCGCCCCGACACTTACCTGCAGCGCTTCCTCAGCCTTCAGCAGAGCTCCCTGTGCTGCGCCTTCGTCATTGCCCTGGGCGGCGGCTGCTTCCTGCTGACTGCGCTGCACCTGGAGAGAGACCAAGCCCAGGTCCAGCAGTCTGGCACAGGTACCCGGCTCCTTTGCACCCATGCCGGGCTCTGGGCTGACCCTACAGGAGCAAAGAGCACTGGCCACCCCCTGAATTTATTAATCTATCCATTCATTCATTTGTTGATTCATCCACATGTAATTATTACGCCCCTGCTGTGTGCCAGGCAAGATTGCAGATCCTGGGGAGTAAACATAAAGTCCAAGCCCACGTGAAGAGAAACAAACAAGAAACAAACAAAAGCAATAAATGACAGTATGTTTGAGGTCATAAGTGCTATGAGAGGCGTAAGGCAGGAAAGTGGGGAGAGAGGAACAGGTGGGGGCAGGTTGCAGTTTTTGAAAGGGTGGTCAGAGAGGTCCTCACTGCACAGGTGACCTTGGAGCAAAGATTTGGAGGAGGGACTGAGTTGTGCAGCTGTCTGGGGACCAGTGCTCTTGGTGGAGGGAAGAGCTTGTGCAAAGGCCCTGGGGTAGGAATGTACCTGCTTGTGTTTGAGGACCTGCAAGAAGGCCACTGTGGCTGAAGCAGGAGCAAGGGGGGCCAGCGGCAGAGACGAGGGTGACAGAGGAACAGAGCATGGGGGGACTGAAGGCTTTTGTAGGGACTGAGGCCTTAACACTGAGTGAGATGGGAGCTGCTATGGGGTTTCCAGGGCACAGGCCCCAAGATGTTTGATTGACATCATAAAAGCACCATTGTGGTGCTGCTGTGTTGAGAGCAGACTGTGGTGGGGGTGGTCAGTGTTGAAGCAGGGAGGCCAAAGGGAGGTTCTGTAGCCATCAGGGGAGAGCAGAGGGGCTGGGACCGTGGTGGTGGCATTGAACGTGGGGAGAACAGGTCAGATCTGGAATTTATTTTGAAAACGGAAGCTGGAGGATTTCATGGCAGACTGTGCCCAAGCCTGGTCCCCAAGCACCTCTGCCTCCTTTGGGGCTGGCTGAGTGATTTCCGCCCACAGGGATCCTTGAGAGCGAGAGCCAACGCCTGATTTCTGGCAGGGGTGCCTCCCCAGAGGGCTCCTGAGGCCCTGCCTGGCAGCGAGGAGGTCCCACCTGCCCTGTCCATACCCGTCTGGGTGACCTCCACCGGATCAGTGCCTCTGCCCACCTTTGACTGTGGCTCCAGGACCCTGGCCGAGCTGCACCTGCCGTTTCTTTGCTCCCAGCTGAAGAGCTGGCAGCGCCTGTGGCTGGGCTGGGAATTGAGCTGTCAGCAGCCCCCGCGGGAGTCCTGAACCCATGCCTGACCCAGCATGAGGCCACTCACTCCAGCCTGGAGTCCTCAGCCTGGCTGCCAGCAGGCCCGATTAAAGTGTGGCTGGTACAAAGCCCATGGATATAGGCCTTTAGACAATCATGTTATTTATAGCCTCAAGGTGTCTCTGCTGGGATCAGGAGCTGGAGAGGAGGAGGTGGGCAGTCTGGGCGGAGGATGCACAGCTGCTCAGCATGGGTCTCTAGGCATGCCCACCCTGGACCACCTGCTCTGACCCTGCTTCCCCACTCTGCAGGGTCGGGAGGGCATGGGACACCATTCTGTGTGCATTCACCCTTTGAACTCAAGGTGGGGGCTGAATCAGTATTCTGGAAGATAGGTCTCTACTCGGGTGCTGGTGTCGGGGTGTGGCCACAAGATCCATGGAAATCCTCTGCCTGCACTGACCCAACCGCCTCAGACCCACGCTGGGGGGCTCGCATGGCTGTGCGTGAGTGCCTTGCTCTGCATCCCTCCCCCTCCCCCATGGGGAGGGCTGGCTCGGTGGGACTCACTGGGTTCAGAGCAGCTGGGCGCAGCAGGCCGTGCAGGAGATCAACAGCTTCCAGGCGGGTAGCAGTGAGGAGGCATGTTCTTTCCGCCATAAGCATAAGCGTCTCACCCTCTCCCCTGGTGCCCAGCCAGGCAATCACTGTTCACTTTCTGATCACAGCCGCTGGGCCTGCCTCTCAGCAGCTGCGGGCAGAGCAGTGACCCAGACTCACGCTCCCCTCCTGACCCTTGCTTGCTCCGTCCCTACCCTCTATGGGTGTCCTCCCTGCCCCTTAGGTTGGAGGGGACAAGTTCCAGGAACGGGACTCTCCAGCTCAACCCACACCTGCCACCCCCAACCTCCCCAAGTCTCAGCCCTCCCTCTGGAGCAGCCATCATCAGGCTGACTGCCTCCCCCACCCCCCACCCCTCACCATCTGATGCTTGGAGCTCGTGAAACAGGCTAGCTCTGAGGTTACAAGAAAAATGATTCCTGAGGGTCCTTGTTTAGGGTTCTGCTCCCAAGTACAGCATGGGCGTGGGAGGGAGAGGGGCAGTCCCACAGCCCCAAGCAATCCTCTGATCCCAGCTGGGTGTCCTGCAATTCAGTTCAACTCTGACACTGTCTACCCAGTGAGTGAGTGAAAGTTGCTCAGTTGTGTCTGACTCTTTGCGACCCCATGGACTATGCAGTCCATGGAATTCTCCAGGCCAGAATATTGGAGTGGGTAGCCTTTCCCTTCTCCAGGGGATCTTCCCAACCCAGGGATCGAACCCAGGTCTCCCACATTGCAGGAGGATTTTTTTACCAGCTGAGCCACGAGGGAAGCCCAAGAATACTGTAGTGGGCAGCCTATCTCCTCTCCAGTGGATCTTCCCAACCGAAGAATCGAACCAGGGTCTCCTGCATTGCAGGCAATTCTTTACCAACTGAGCTATCAGGGAAGCCCTCTCTACCCAGAGAACATCACATTCCACAGGTTAAGGGTTCAGTCCTACAAGACTATCCCTGCCAGGCCCATCCCACACTTCAGATGCCAATCACAAGTCCAGGTGGTGAGTGGCTGTAAACCCAAGGTTCTCACAACCCCTTCCTGGGGTTCCATTACTGTGCTGGAGAACTTAGGAAACCCATTTACTTGCCAGTTTATTACAAAGGATGGAACTCATGGGGAATACATGTAAAAAAAAAAAAAGATACACTATGGTTGTGATAAAAAAAAAAATTATGTAGGATCAAAAAAAAAATGTAGCAATTATAAAAAAAAAAAAAAGGATGGAACTCAGGAATAGCCAGATGAAAGAGATGTGTAAGACATCTGAGCATCTGGCATCTGAGCCTTCGGTCCCAGCCAGTATATGGTATGGGGGAAGGGCATGGAGCCTCCACTCTCCCCAGATGTCCATGTGTTCATCAACCCGAAAGCTCTCTGGACAGCCCCCTCCTTTTGGATTTTTATGGAAGCTTCATTACTCAGGCATGATACCATTGGCCATTGGAGTGTGATCTCAATTTCTAGCCTCCCTCCCCTCCCCAGAGGTGGTTTTGGGGCAGGGTTGGGATCAAAAATTCCAAGCTTCTAATTGCAGGGTTTGCTCATATCTTGTCCTTAGGTGAGTTCCAAAAGTCACCTAACAAAGAAGACACTTTTAGGGATCTCATCACCTAGCAAACTCCAAGGGTTTTAGGCACTCAATGCCAGAAACAGGGTGAGCAGCCAAATGATATATTTCTTATTATAAATGACAATATCATACTTGGTTTCTCCTGAGAAGGGGGCAGTCGGTCTGTGTGGGATTCACTGGCTGTGTGACCCGGGCCACTCTCTGTCCTCTCTGAGCTTCAGACTCCTCAGCTCTATTTAAGAGGTGTGTTGCATGTGGTTTTTCTAGCCTCTTAGTCACTCAGTTGTGTCCGACTCTTTGCAACCCCATGGACTGTAGCCTGCCAGGCTCCCCTTGTCCATGGGATTCTCCAGGCAAGGATACTGGCGTGGGTAGCCATTCCCTTCTCCAGGGTATCTTCCTGACCCAGAGATATACCTCATGGTTTCTCATGGACTGGGTCCACAGAAGCCAGCTCTAGGGTCTGAATCTTCTCCCTGCAGTCCTGGGAGGACCCCTGTGAGACTCAGCTCCCAGGAAACGGGCAAGGGCTTCCTGAGGGTCATCGGCTGCCACCTCCCCTGCTTGAGTCTAGGGGCTGGGGAGAAAGATCAGTAATCTCATTTACGCCAGTTCCAGAAACACGTTGGTACCAATGAGTGCCCATCTAGGTTGTGGGCAGTGCCTCCAACCCTGCTCTTGGGCCTCACAGCTCCAGAAGGAACAGGAAAACACTTAGCTGGGTCAAGTGAGGACCACTTACAGGCAGAAGAAGGGGTTCCATCCTTCAGAAGTTGTGAGAAGTTGACCTAGGAGCTGGTAAATAGCCAGAGAAGGTATGGGGAAGGGAATCCCTGATGGAGGGAATAGGCAGAGGCACAGGGCCTGAGGCAGAAGGTATGTGGTGAGTCATGGAGAGGTGTGGTGTGGTCAGAAAGGAGGGGGTGTGTGTGTTTTGAAGTGGGGGAGAAGGGGCAGGAGAGACTGGCTGGGACCAGAGGGCCCAGGTGCCAGTTGAGGAGCTGGGGCTTGGAGCCTGTAATCAGGGTAGTCCCTTCTGACTCAAGCGCTTTCTGGAGTTTAGGTTGCCAGGCAGGGCAGGGTGGTGCTTTCTGGGACTGAGCTAGACAGAATGCCCCGCCAGGAGTTTATAGGATGTTATCATCCTAAGTGTTTTGAGGTAGGGCAGGAGCGCCGGGTTGGCGGACTCTGGGAGGGAGAGAGAGTATCTGTTCTGTAAGCAACCCAAGCCTAGCTGTATTCAGCTCCCAGCCCCTGCCTCAGTGGGGCTGGTCACTCAGACCTCACTGCACTGAGGTCCTAGCTGTAGATGTTTGAGAGCCTGGCCACTCAGGCTCGGCAGGAGGAATGGCCAGTAGAACACACCTTTCTGGCCAAAAGGGCACTTGCTGGGCGACCCTGGTCTCTGATACTCTGGACTCACTCGGTGGGAATGTCAATGGGGGACCTCGCTGCTGAGCAGGATGAGGCCCTCAGACCTGACCTGCTCACATCTTGTGTTAATTGTGCTTCCTGGACACACATCGCATTCCAGCTCCCCAGGTGTCATTCCAGGTATGCAGTTGTGCCTGTCAGTGTGCATGTGCCCGTATCTGCTCATTTCTGTGTCGGAGCATGGAGCAGGTGTTAATAGGGTCTGGATGATAAATCTCTTCTTCCACCCTGACCTCAGGCTTGGAGGGTTGAGCACACACATTGAGATGATCACCCCAATCCTGGCTTGTTCCCCTGCAACACCAGACATCAGTCAGTTTCATTCTCTGAAGACTCTTATCTCTCCTCCATGCCTAGATGAGCCTGTGAGCTTGTTGGTTTAATGCAGTCTCTAACAGAGCTGTCAGGAGGCAGTGAGAGGCTGCTGGAGCTAAGCTTTATCCCGTACAGGGAGGTATGGGACTACATCAATTAAAGTTGTAGGGTGGTATGCAACAGAAACAGACTGATAACTTAAGCAAGAAGGGGATTTGTTGAAGCACATCAGGAGCTCACAGCATCTATGTGGAGATTCAGGAGCCAGGGCTCTTGGGCCATCTTACTGGGGGACCTTCACCAGAGCTCCAGACAATTTTTTCCTATCCTTTTTCCACCCTACTCAAGATTTAAGGCCCTGAATGGGAGAGTCCAGTTGGATCATTAACCCATGCCTTGATTTATATATAGCTCCATTAAGACCAGGAAACCAGGATGCACTTAAGAGCATCAAAATAAAACAGCAATGAAAGAAAAAAGAGACCAAAAATATATATATACAAATACCAATGACTGTGTCCATTACAGTGATCTTGGGCAGGCCACTGGCCCTCAGATGCAGCCTCTCATGGGAGAGGGAAGAGGCCAGACTCAGTGTCCTTCAAGGGATTCTTCATTTCTGAGAGTCCATGATCAAAGGAGACAGAAGCTTCTATAATTCAGAAAGTGTTAAAAATGTTCAAATAACAGAACAGGAACTTCTGTGTTAGTGGGGACTCAGAGCCATCTGTTCTGAGCAGGGGAGAGGCAGAGACAAAGCGTTCTGAGCTGGGGAGTGGAGGGGCTCCAAGTCCCCCGCTTGGCAACAGCAGGAGCAGAGAGGAGCTGTCCTCTCCCTACCCTTGGGTGGTGACCTGTGGAGAAGGTAGTCAAAGGGTGGATGTAAATGGCACATGGAAGCTAATGGAGGGTGGAGTCAAAGAGGGAGAAAATGCCTTTCTCAGAGGGGCCAGGAGAGGAATCTGGCTGGTTTCTGAATCATGAAGAACAAGAGATACATGATGCAAATCAGCACGCACTTCCTGAGTCGCACCTGCTAAATGTCATTTACTCATTCACTCAACAAACATTCTCTGAGCCACCTCCTCTTCCCTGGACTATGGAGATGAATCAGTGTTTGAACCCTCAAGGTTCACGATCTGTTGTTGGGCTGGTGGAGGGGAGCAGGGGACTGATGTACAAACATAATCAGCACAATGAGTTTGGTGCGATGGAGGGGTATACAGGGTACTCACGTAGCCTAGAGGAAATGACAATTTCAATAAGTAGGTCAGGGAGGGCTTCCTGGAGGAAGTCGTCTGTGCTAGGTTTCTGAAGGACAAGTGGGAGGAGTGAGCTAGGCAGAACAAGACTAAAAAGCCAGGGGAGGGGGTTGCCTGGGTGGAGCTCTCCGTGGTCCTGAACCATCATTGGGTCACCAGGACAAGACTTTTGTGTTGAGGGTAGGGGGCAACTAGAGAGGATTGCTCCAAATTCCTGCCACTCTTCTGGGCTCCAGGAAGTATCATAACTGTGAGTGAGTCTAAGGAGCTCCATTTTCAGTATGGATGAGTGTAATTTTGAGAGATGGGCAGTAGGATCTGAGGCTGGAGATTGGCATGGGTCATGAAGGGTTACTGGAGATCATGTTAAGGAACTTTGATATTTAAAAAAAGAAATTTATTGAAGTATAGTTGATTTACACTGTCATGTTAATTTCTGCTGTACAGAAAAGTGATTCAGTTATACAAACATATATATATTCTTTTTCATGTTCTTTTCCATTACAGTTTAGCATAAGATATACAGTAGGACCTTGTTGTGTACCCATTCTATATATGATAGTTTGCATCTGCTAATCCCAAACTCCCACTCCATCCCTCTCTCACCCCCTCACCTCCTTGGCAACCACAAGTCTGTTCTCTATATCTGTGCATCTGTTTCTGTTTCATAGATAGGAACTTAGATATTTTTAGTCTTATAGTAGTGGAGAGCCATGGAAAGGTTTTATGCAGGGTAACGATAGGGTTGTATGTGTGACTTAGAAAATTATGGCAAGAAATATGAAGAAAAGACTGGAGGGGAATGTTGGAACAGGTGTTGTTGAGCTTTAAAAGGGTCCAAGTGAGACATGAAAGGTTAGAGCTAAGTCCGTGAACAATGAAGACATTTGAAGATATTAAGAAAAAAGTGGATGGGCCCTAGAAGTGGGAGTTGAAGGAGGAGTCCCAAATGGCTTCTAACTTTCCTGCTTGGTAACAATGTGGATGCTGCTGCTATTCGTCAGAGATAAATGATACTGGGTGGCAGCAGGTTGAGGGGAAAGATGATGAGTTCAGTCTTGGATGTACTGAATTTAAGGTGCTGGGGGTATCTCGGGAGGAATGTGCAGGAAACTGCATATAGACCTACTGTTTGGAGATGAGGTCACATCTAAAGATGGAGGGTGGGATGTCCTAGGGATGTGGATAATTGTTGAAAGCCCAAGCATGAGTGAGAGGCTGCTGAGGGAGGGTGTGCCACATGAGCAAGGAGGAGACTGAGGCTGAGCACTGGACACACTCCAGTGTAGGGAGACAGGCAGAGAGGAGGTGGACTGAGCTCCCAGCTAACAGACTTGGGGGAGCCATTATCTCTCTGAGTGCATTCTGCAAAGCCATAGTCATCTTCTAAGATGTTCTGTGGCCTCATACACATGGGGAGATGGCAGCCTATACCTCCCCATGGGAGACTCCCAATGTACACTCTCAGTTTAAAGGCTCTGAAAAGTTTCTCAGTGAGGGAACCTAATTCTCTATGTTTACGTCACCATTTCCCAAATATACTCACCCTTGGGACATGGACCACTAATGTCCTGTGCCCTATTTGTTTTGAAATTATGGTCTAGACTTAATGAATGAATATTAGAAGGCCCTTTAGCCATCATTGACTTCAGCCTCCCATTATGTTGATGAGGAAGCTCTGTCCTGGAGAAACTAAGAGAAGCTACTGCCCCCTTTCCCGTGGGGCAGTATAGGAAACACTGGATTAGAGGGTAGACACACCCTACCCTCAAGGTTTAGTGCGAGCCTCATCATTTACTGGGCTTCCTTGGTGGCTCAGATAGTAAAGAATCTGCCTGCAATGCAGGAGACCCAGGTTCACCCCTGGGTCAGGAAGATACCCTGGAGAGGGGAATGGCTACCCATTCCAGTATTCTTGCCTGGAGAATCCAATGGACAGAGGAGTCTGGTGGGCTACAGTTCATAGGGTCACAGAGTCAGACGTGACTGTGCAATTTAACACTTTCACTTCATTTACTAGGTATGTGACCTTAGGTACCTTACTTTTCTTCCTTGGGTGTCTCTTTCTAGTTAAGAGCTAAAACTGCTCCCTGGGCAGGGCTGTGGCTGAAAGGATGAGGAATTTGGGGGAGTGGGAAGGGGACCACGGTGTTGGGCTTAGAGCCATGGTTCTGCTTTCTGCCTACCGTCCCACAGCTGGCCACATCCTCCGGCTGGGCCCTGGCCTGTACCTGGCATCATCACACTACTATGAAGGTCAGTGCCACGGCTCAGTCCCAACCCCACAGAGCTCCTAGGTGTGTCCTTGCCTGTTTGATCACCTGCCATTCTGGGCCACCCAGTGGAACTTCCCGCATCCAGCTTTGCAGGCCTGCACTCAGCAAGCTGGAAAGAGGCAGCACAAGAACTTTCAGAATGAAATGTTTTCCTAACCCTCTCGTCACAGTCATTCATACCCAACACGACGATGCATATTTTTAGTCACTTCGCAGAATTTAAAACACACCTCAAAGGCGCCAAGAAACACCAGCTTGGGGATTAACTCTGCTCACAAGAGACAGTGGGGCGGACGTGGGGAGGGCTGCCTCATGCTGCATCACCCGTTGCCTATGCCATGACTCACTGTGGCCGACACCTTCACGAGATGCACCTGCCTGTGGATGTGGGATCTGGAGCAGCCTGTGGTGGGAACTGAGCTCCCAGCCCAGGTATTGCACCAACCCCAGGTCAGGGCCAACTCTGGCACCTGCTAGCTGCATGTCCATGGTGGGGTCTTCTCTGGGCCGTGGAACCTGTATGTGGAACACAGGACATAATTCTGGTTCTCCAGGCTCTGTCTTCTAGCATTCTGTCCTCAGCCCTTTGTACAGGATTTTTGTTTCAATCAAAGCTGCAAACACATGAATGGGGACGGAGCTTACCAGAACCACAGCACCTCTGAGATGGGTGACAGTGGAGAGTGTAATCCTGAATACAGAAGCTACCCTTTCACTCTCCACAGGGGATGGGGCTCCCTGCTCCCCCAAGGGAGAACCTGGGGGACTTCCAGACCATCTAAAGCCTGTCCTCCTATCTACCCCCCAGAGAGAGAAACTGACACCAGTTAGGGTTCTTGTCTAGGGTCATGCCACACACCAGGGCAGAACTGAGTTAGGGGCCAGCCTCCTCTCTCCCATTCAGGGCTTTGTCATGTGCTGCTGAAGCCTGATGCTTGCGGTTACTGGGCCCTCAGGGGACAAGGCCCCCTTTGAATGCCCTGTTTCCGAGGTGTCCCAGTTGGAGCCCTGTCTCTCCCTGCCATGGGCTGCCTCTCTGTGGGGCATGGGTAGGGTCTCGGTGTGCACACAGGAATGGGTCCAGGGGGAGGCTGGGGGCTGGATCTGAGTTTCCATGGGGAGGTGGGTGACATAACCTCCTGTGTCTGGTGGAGCCGTGGACCAAAACCTCCACCGAGCATGCTTCTTGGTTCTTATAGTAGCCCTCCCTGAACTGATTAAATCATGGCGGGTGAATAGCTGCTGGAGCGGTCACGGGCTCTCCCACCCGCGCTCCTGACTTAACTATCCGAGACCCTCTCTCCAAGATGTCCACATGCCCTGAGCTCCAGCCCCCCAACTGTCGCCCAGACTCTCCGCTGCGGTAGGGGGTGGAGAGGGAGGGCACCGAGTGGGTGCCAAGGAGTCCTATTTCCCGCACGCGGCTCCTAGCCCCGTGGTTCCCCACAAACCCCCTCCGGGTCCTCGCCAGCCTCGGCGGCCGCGCGGCTTCGGCGTGACTGCGCCCCCGTCGGGCGGGAGGGGCTCTGCGGCCCGGCCCCCTCTCCGCCCCCCGGGGGCAGCACGTGTGGGGCGGGGCTGTGGTCCGAACCCGGGGCTGATTGGGCAAGGGCCTGGTGGGCGGGGCCGGGCCGCAGCTGTCAGAGCGGCGGCGGCGGCGACCGCGGCGCATCGGGCTGAAACGGTGGCAGCGCCGCAGCCGGGGCCGGAGCGCAGGAGCCGACGGGGCCCGGCCGGGATGGTGCAGCGGCGGCTCCTCGGCGCACACACGCACTGAGTGGGCCCAAGCTGGGCCCCGTGCCCCCCGCGCCCCCCGCCGCCCCGATCCCGGCCGGCATGATGTGCCTGGAATGCGCCTCGGCGGCGGCGGGCGGCGCGGAGGAGGAGGAGGCGGACGCGGAGCGGCGGCGCCGGCGCCGGGGGGCGCAGCGAGGGGCCGGCGGTGGCGGTTGCTGCGGGGCGCGGGCAGCGGGCGCCGCGGGAGTCGCGACCGCCGACGATGAGGTGCAGACGCTGTCGGGCAGCGTGAGACGGGCCCCTTCCGGACCCCCCAGCACCCCCAGCACTCCCGGCTGTGCAGCGGCTGCCAAGGGCCCGGGCGCGCAGCAGCCCAAACCAGCCAGCTTGGGCCGCGGGCGGGGGGCAGCCGCCGCCATCCTCAGCTTGGGCAACGTGCTCAACTACCTGGACAGGTACACCGTAGCAGGTGAGCGAGTGCCCCACCCAGTCCGAGAACCAGGACCCTCTGCCTCGAGGTACCCCGGCGCAGGCCCCCTATATCCAAGCCTTTCGTGGGGTCCCTAAGGGCCTTCGCCTCAGGTACCACTGGGCAAGTGATGCCCCCAAGACCTACTGGTCCAATCCTGGGACCGCCCCGCACCCCCCCGGGCCAAGGGTAGGGGGAGTCCCCACCCCTGGAGTAGCCCGCGCGTCCTCGCCAGCCCTTGACGTCCCATCCGTTGTCCTCTTCGGCGAGAGTCTCCTTTGCGTCTCTCTGCGTTCTGGCCTTCGCGACCCCTCCCGCCCCTGCCTCAGGTTCCCGGGCCTCTGCTCCCCTCCCCCCAGCCCAGGCGATCTGTCCGTCCGTAGCCGGTCAGTTCCTTCCTTCCTCCGCCGCCTCCACTCCCCTGCGTGCGTGCCGCGAGTGCGCGCACCCCTTGCGGGTGTGCGCCAGAGGAGACAAGTGTGTGCTCGGGGGCGGCGCGGATGTGTGTGTGAGCGTGTGAGCGCGTGGCTGACAAAGGCTTGGGGCTGCGGGGAGTGGAGGGAGGGGCGGGGCGGGTCCGCGGCGCCTGGGGACCCAGGATGCGGTTTGCAGCTGGCCCTGGCTAGAGGCCTGAAGACGCTTCCCCCTCTTCTCTGTCGCTTGGGGCCTGGGGTAGGGCGCAGGCCACTGGGGCAGGAGAGGGACTGCCTAGTCCTCTGTGAGCGTCTCCGGGAGCCAGCCTCCTCAGGGAGTGGGTAGAACCACTGAGTTCTCACCCCGAATCTGCCCCTCTGTGCTTGGTGTGTGACCTTGGGCCGGTCTGAGCTGGTGTTTAGGTCTCTTCCCCCGTTTGTGAGGTGGTTGATCCTCAGACCCTCTGGGGATGAGCGAGTGTTCTGGGAATTCTAGTCTGCTGGCTCCCCTCCCCCAGTTCTCAGGGATGTGAGCAGGGACTTTTCCCTAAATTGAGCTGCTCCTGGGTGGAAATAGTGCAGCCTTGAGAGAAAAGGACTTGGGCCAGACTTGCATGTGGGGGCTCTCTGCCATAGGAGACTAGTGACTGGATACCTGACATCCTGGCCAACTGGCCCCAGAACCTGCCTAACCACAGCTTAGTAAAATCTGCAACTACAAAAAAGAAAAAAAAAACAGAGAAGGAGAAATTTTGGACAGACTCTACCGAGAACTTTGTGCCCATGACAAGAGGCGAATCCTGGCCTAAACCATAAAACATGCCACCTGGATCCCCTTTCCCAGGACTCAGTCTCCCTGTCTGTTGAATGGGGTTTTGTGTCAAGTGGAAGGGAGAACTCTGCTGGGAGAGCAGAGACTTCTGCCTTCCCCGACTCCCACTTTCAAAATCTTCTATCTCTCTGTTCCTCTCTGTGGGGAGTTGAAAGGGGGTACCCCTGGCACCAGTTTCTGGGGCGAGCTGTCCCCAGGGGACTGTTACTTTGGTCTGGTGAGCTGGAGTACTCAGCACCATCCCAGCACACCAGTCCATCTCATGCATGTGCCATCCTGCCTGGGACCTGGGCGCTTAGGTGCCACCCTAAAGTGGGGAGAAGTCAGAGAACACGGGCGGGGGGCGGGGTGGACCTGTGGTTAGTGCAACATCACCTTCTGTCCACAGATGAGCAAGCCAAGGCCTTTGTCCACAAGGGCTCAGAGAGGGCACAACAAAGCTGGCGTTGCATCTAAATCCATCTACCTGGTTCCCACCCTCTCAGCTGGGCAATGAATGGCCTGCTTCTGGCTCTGTCACACCGACTTGTCTTTTCAGGCCCCAGACCACCACCCCACCCTGACCCACACTCTGACATTCTTAGGGAAACTGACTCTGCTTAGTGGCCGAGGTGGGAGGGTGGGATCAAGGAGGGCTGGTACTTATCTGCCCCCACCCCCACGGGGGTCCCAGAGTCAGAATGGGAGAATAAGATAGGAAATTTTTGGTGAATTGGTAACAGGGGGTGGAGCAGTAGGGAGGAAGGTCCGGAAAGCTCTGTGCAAACACTGCCTGAGCTGTGCATCCCCTTCTGTCCTGCCAGGGCTGGGAGCTCCTGCTCCACCCCGCCCCCAGCACAGAGCGCACACAGATTTCCTCTCCGGATAAGCCTGGCTCCCTCCCTCTCTCTTTACTGTCGATTCTCCTACCACCACCCCCTTGTTTCCAAGTTCAGTTTTCAGGAAGATTTACTGTCTCTATGGCAACTACTATGGCTTCATGTGTCTTAGGAGGCGGGGGGCGGTTTGGGGGGATTGCAGGGGAATGGTCATCTCAGGCTTCAGTCCACCTGTTGCTGACTGTCCAGCTGGGACAGATGAGGCGATGCTGACAGTCCATGGCCCAGTCATCTTGGATATTTGCACCCACCTGATCCCTGAGAACCTCACCATCTGGCCCTGGCTCCCCCATCAAAAAAAAAAAATGGGGAGAGTTCCCACTCTCTTCTTTTCAGTTTGTCCTGTGCATTTCTGTTTTCATGGTATAGACCAGCTTGGTCCAAAAGAGATATAAGGCAAACCACGAATATAATTTAACATGTTCTAGGAGCCATATTTATAAAAGTAAAAAGAATAGGTGAAACGAATGAACAATATTTTATTCCACTCACTCTATCCAACATCATCAACATAGAAGCCCTTGATGGGATAGTTTGCCTGCTTTTCATACTTAGTTTCAAAACTCAGTGTATTTTACATTTATAGCACATGTCAATTTAGACTAGCTGTATTTCAGCTACCCAATAGTCATAGTAGCTAGGGGCCACCACGATGGATAATGAAGGTCTAGAGTCTTTGATGCCAGAGTTTATGTCCAGGCTTTTCAAATTCCCAGCTGTGTGACCTTGAGGATGTCGCCTGGGCCTTCCGGGTGATCACTTCCTCTCCTCTACCTCCCAGGGTTGTGGTGTAACTGAGAATGTCTCTTATGCTAGTGACAAGGCCAGACTCCTAGGAGATCTTCACTTTTCCCTGCTTTTCCATGGCTCTGCCCAAGCTGTGCCCTCGTCATTGTGCCTTCCTATTTCTCGCTTTCTCACAGTTCCTTTTAGGATTCCTGGGCAAATCCCCCCCTTCTTCACCAGGGCTGTTCTCCATCCTGGGAACTCTGGTAGGTTCTGCCTCCATCCTAGCATTCCCAGCGCCACCGCCACCGGGTGATCCAGCTAATTACGGCTTCTCCTCCTCCTCCTCCCCATGAGAACCCCCTGAGGGCAGCAGTCCTCAGAAGCAGGTGAGAAGGGCCAGGCTCCGACTCTGGCTTTTCTTACTGAGCATCGCTTCAGCTGGATGGAACTGAAGTAGCCCAGAAACCACCTCTTAACCCTGCCCTCCACCTCCCTGGGTGGATGGGGACGTGGATGCTGGGAGAGAGCTGGCATTTATCCAAGGTCACATGGTAGGGCAGAGCAGGATCAGAACCCTCCAGTGTGGTCTTCTCTTCAGGGCAGGACAGAGCATGCCCCCCGGCTTCTGACCTGGAAAACTGGAGACTCCGCTGGCCAGGGTGGAAGCCCTCTGGGCAGATGAATTTCAGCTCAGTTTAACAGCAGCAGTTTGAGCTTCCCTAGGGCACAGGGTTCTCGGCTCCCACTCCCGCGGCCCCTGCCAGCCTGGCAGCCACTCACTGTCCATTCTGAGCCCACTTGTGGCTGCCAGGTCAGGAGAAGGGGTGGAGCCTCTCACTTGAGGGTCCCGAGCCTCACCTTACCAGCGCAGCACCATGGTGCATGAGAAGCCTGTGCCCCCGGGCTTCCATTCTTCCATCTGTAGAAGAGAAGCAAGGCTGAGGGTGTAGGAGGCAGTATTCTTTTCCTGGAATGAGGCCCACCAAGAAGGAGTTGTCATGGCTCTGTTCACGGTTGCTGCATGACTATTTGAGAGCTGAGATTCTCCCCTAACTTCTCTGAGGGCACCTATTCCCTTCCTGAGACCCAGTTTCCTTCCCTTTGATCCAGCCCCTTGGCAGCCTAGGCACTTGAAATCGGGTGGAGCAGGGGCTGGTGAGGAGGAGAGGCAGAGCCCTGCCCTGGGGGAGTCTTTTCTGCCAAAGAAGCTGAGACCGGTATCCATGGCAACCGCTGGCTAACACAAACCCAGAAGGAGAGAGGAGTACAGGGACCCAGCCTGGAATGCATGCCTGGCAGGGACTGGGGGCTTCCCCCAAACACCTGAGCTGGGTGCGGGAAGGGCCGCCAAGCATGGGCTCTTGTCTCTTTTTCTTTTTTGTTGTCGGCTTGGTTGAGTCTGTCCAGAGCTAACACTTGGGGGACGGAGGCCCCAGGCCTTTTGCAGTGTCACCTGAGTGTGTAGACGCCAGGTCAGTCGCCATGCTCGGCGCTGTCTCTAAGGGTGAGGACTGTCAACGCCGCTCCCGCCCTGCCCCCCTCACGTGGCTTTGTTTGACCCCTTGAGTGGCCCTGCCTTGGTCGCCACCACGTCAGCACTGTGTAAGGTCTGCAGGGCGGGGTGCAGGGCCACATTCCAGGATGCCCGTCTGGCAGGTCAGTGTCCAGGTGCACCGCTGGGCCGGCCTGGAATGCCAGCACCCCAGTGACTAACCACTA